GGTAAATAAAAATGTACTTAAATGAACAAACTATTAATGAAGTTTTAATGGTTGCTATATTTACTAGATTTAAACTGAAAAGGTAAAAAATCCAGCAACACTCGCAGCGTACAGAACATCTTTGTTGCTAGATCAACACTTTCGGCTTGTGGCTTTCATCAGAGTCTGTTAAAAGTACATAAAGAGTTGTTTAAAGATTCTGGATGTAGAAAGAAATGTTAAAGAAACAACCATTTACATGCATGGTGGCTAATAAAAACATGCACATAAGTGGGTTGGATATGTGTTCATGTGATTATAGGCCATTCACATTCTCAGATTGATAAAGAGGCAAAAGGTGTGTCTAATATTGGCAGGGACACCGCCTGTGTCAGTCACTGGATGTTGGACCTTTCCTGTTTGTTGGGTGAAGTTTCTGCTTTGCCTTGATATTTCATAAAATGTATTTTTAATTTGCTGTAGTGTTGTCTGTCTTTATAACACTGTGAACATTAACAGATTATACGACTGTGCCACATTTCACTTGGTGCACCATTATACTTTAACACAAAGAGCAACACACATTTATCCATTAACACTCCCATTTTGGGCATCTAGGTCAATTCTGGGGGTAGAGTATCTTTTTTTTTTTTCAAACCACAAACAAAGACCCTTTACAGACTTTGGGTTTGTGGCTGGCTTTGACATCATGCAATGTGACATAATTTCCCTCCCAGGCAAATCACCACTCACTCGACTGGAGCGTGAACACACACACACACAGGGTTTTCTGCATGTTGGCGCATGACATCATAGCATCATGACTGCTCATGTCCATAGTCAAAGCTGCGTATCTTGAAGTATGATGCTAGTAGAGCTTCTGCAGATGTTGTTGTTGTAGTCTTAATTTCATCCCTTTCAATCCATTGCTGGGAAGCTGAAAGAAGAGCAGTGCAGGGCAGCTGACAGATTAAGCAAGAGCAGTGGGCTTGGAAAGGCCAAAGGGCAAGCAGCTCCTCTGAGTCTGAAGAAAATCAGTAGCCATGGGCGAAGGATTCCAAAGACCAGTCGTCACCACGTGGATGCTCATTAGCTGAAGATTTGTCCTCAGATTAAGATGTGGAAGCAGACAGTGTGATGAAGAGGAGCCAAAGATTTAGTAGCTCTTTCAGCTTTGGAGAGGATCAGCAGCTACAGTCAAAGAATGAGGACAGGGTTGAAGAACTGTCGCCAAAGAGATCTAAAGGAGTACCTGTGACAAAGGTTATGGAGACAGACTTAGCAGCAGAATGCATGCGACTGGAGAAACGGGGCACATTTTGTAACAGCAGTGAGCCACCAAGGTCTGGTTTATTCAGGCCTCAAGCATTATGGCTGGCAATAACAAGATGCCTCTCCCTCCGATGGCCCCCTTG